CCTCGCGAGGCAACTCCACTCGCCCTCGGGGGGGGACAACGTTGCGAGGATCAGGATGAGGATTGAGAGATGGAGGGCGAGGAGGAGGAGGAGGAGGACGTGGGAGGAGGAGGAGGAGGAGGAGGAGGAGGAGGAGGAGCGAACGGTTGAGGATGAATGACGGAAAGGGGAAGGCTCTCGAGGGGCAGGGGATGCAGGAGTACGGGGAGGAGGAGGAGGAGGAGGAGGAGGAGAAGGAGGAGGAGGAGGAGGAGGAGGCGGAGGATAACTTGGATGACAGGGGTGAGGAAGAGGAGGATTTGGATTCCGCTGGCATGCCTGAGCCCACGAGTTGCCACATACAGGCACCCACTCGAGGAGGTCGGCGCAGTAGTCCATCACGACCCCTGGCGCTTCCTCTTCTTCGCGCCGTCCTTGGCAGTAGCGGGGGCCTTCTCCTTCTGGATCTTCTGCTTCTCGTTCACGCGAGCCTGGTGGGCGGCGCTGAGCAAGCGCGACTCCGACTGGAGCTCGATGATGAGGGGGCCGATCGTGTCCACGAACTTCTTCAGCTGCACCTCGAACTCTTTCTCCTGCTTGCCCGTCTTTGCACAGGCGGCCACGGTGGTCAGCTCCTTGCTGGTGAACTTCCCAAACCAGTCGTTCTCGCGGATAGCCTGCATCAGCTTCTCCTCGGCCTCGACGAGCGCCTTCTGCGCATCCGAGTTGTTGAAGTAGGCCCACTCTCCGATCGCCTTCTGGATCTCCGCCTTGATCGAGATGCAGCTCGCAGCGGCCAGGCTGCAGTTGAGCTTGGTCGTCTTCGCCGCGGCCATCTTCATCTGGAGGGGTGTCTGCTCCTTCTTCTGCCTCGTAGCAGGCGGCTCTTCTGGACCAGGTGCAGTCTCGGTGCCACGGGCCTTTCTTTTCGCGCCTGCTTTCGGCGCGGCTGTGCCTGTCTCGCCAGTGGACTTGCCTCCACCTGCCTCGGCCCCCGCGGCTGCGGCTGCGATGGTCGCCTGCCCAGCTGCGGCTGCGGCGATCGCCTGCGTGGCGGCTGCCTCCTTCGACTCGATGGCCGCGATCGCAGCAGTGGCCGCCTGCTGATTTATCACATTCTCCTGCTGCCGCATCTCGCCCATCTGAGCCTGGAGCGTGCCCATGGCGTCAGCGAGGTTCGTCTTGTTGCCGCCCTCCTTGAACCACTTCTTCGTGAGGGACCACACCTCCTCCAGGTCCTCCGACACGCCCTCGACGTTGTACAAGAAGAGGATGTCCTTGCGCCACTCGCACCACTTTGCCTGAGGACTCATCCTCCTACCCCCTCCTCGTCGCCCTCCTCCTCCTCCTCCATCCCTCCTCACCCGAAGCTCCTCCCCGTTAAACGCTCGTCCACCTCCTCCGAGAAAAGTTGCCAGGAAGTGTGTTTACAAGCCCTGGTGCCCACGGATGGCCCATGGCCAAGCATCGCAAAGCGTAGTTGGCGGCGTTCAGCTTGCCCTGGCGCCCGCCGCCCTCCTCCACGATGATCCTGTTGGCGCACAGGTACCTGCCGTCCGAGTACTCGCGCTTCTTGTAGTTCTTCGTGTGGGTCTTCTCCATGACCCACTCGCAATATTTCTCCTTGAGCCACTTGGCCCTGAACGCCTCTTGCCGATCTGGTTTCCCTTGGAGGGCCGCGTAGTCCGCCTTGTCCTTCTGCGATTGCTTGCTGCTGCCATTGATATGCCTCTGCCAGCGTCCAGCAGCAGGATTGCCTGCCTTGCCCTTGGTGCCGAACTTGAACTCAGCGTCGCGCATCTGCTTCCAAAAGGTGCCGTTATTGCAGGTCTCGTCGATCTCGAAGCCCATCGGGTCAGCGCCGTCCTCCTGGGAGTCAAGGTCGGACTTCCGCCCGGGGGAGTGGAAGGCGCTCGCGAGCTTCTCCGCGAAAGCCTTCTCATCCTCAAGGTTGGACATGTCAGACGCTTGCGGGGCGGCCAAAGTTGAAGAATCGAAGAGGAGGAGGAGGAGGAGGAGGAGGAGGAGGAGGAGGAGGAGGAGGAAGAGGAGTCATCGGGTCAACGTGCGATGACCAGGTCATCGGGTCAACGCACGGTCAACGTACGTGCGTTGACCAGGCTCTCCGTTGAGCCGATGACCCCTCCTCCGCCATGAGAGGATTCTCATGACGCGGCGATGCCTGGGTGTAGAGGCTCTCCTCGAGCTCGAGCTCTGCTGACAAGGTGTCGGCGAAGGACTGGGCGCTGCTGTTGACACTCGGATTACAGGGCCTGGCTGGCTGCGCGGCGCTGGCCTGAACCGTGGGCTTGCGGCTCCAGCGCGTCGAATGCTTGACAGGCGTCGTAGGCGCAGAGGGGGCTGCGGCGTCGACGGCGCCGCTGGCCTCGGCGCCGCCTGCCTCAACGCCGCCCACTGCCGCTGCGGCCGCGCCACCCTCGCCGCCACCTGCGCTGCCGCCCAGGTGCACCGCGGCCTGGCTCCCCGCCTCCTGGCTCTCCGCCAACTGGCTCGGCGCCACCAATGGCGCGTCGTCGCTTGACGTGCCGCTGCCTGGCTCGCCGCTTGCCTCGGCGCTGCTTGGCTCGCTTGCCTCGGCGCCGCTTGGCTCGCCGCCTGGCCCGCCGCTTGGCTCGCCGCCTGCGCCGCGTGGCTCGCCGCTTGACATGGCGCCGCCGCTTGCTGGAGCCTCCTGCTGGGCTTTCTCCATGGCCTCCCTCTGCGCAAGCAGCTGCCGCGCCTGCAGACTGGCGAGGCCAATCCTCACCCCCTGGTCGGCCTGGTCGATCTTCGTCGTCAACTGCAGCAGCTGCTCCTCGTCGAGGTCATCGATGCGCTGGACTGCCAACGATGCCCTTGTGGCCTGATCCATCTGCTCGCTGACCTGGCCTTCATCGGCCGACTCGGTGCTGCTGTCCTCCACGCGCTCCGCATCCAGAACCTTCGAGCGGCTCAAAGCTGTTTTGGAACGACTTAGGAATCATGGAGGGCGATGGCGGCGGAGGAGGGAGGACGGGGGAGAGACGGGGAGGTAGGAGGGAAGGGGAAGCGAGATGGAGCTAGGGGGAACGGGGTGAATCTAAGGCTGGCGATTGGGTCATCATGGTTGCGTGGCACTGGCGACTTCGCATACCCCCCAGAACGTGACCGCTCCTCTCGTCAACGGACCCGCTGCCAGCTGCTGTCATCGCACGGCCCAGGGGGGTGCGCCAGCAGTTTCTCGGGACCCCACTGCCACGAATGTAGCCCTTCATAAGGGTCTCGAGCCAGGGCATTTAAATACGTCGTCTTGCAATAGGGTAGTTTGAACAATGACACGAAAAGGACCCATAACAGGTTCAATGATGTTGAATGTTCCTTTCGGGCCCCTTGCTGAATGTTCCATTCGGGCCTCTGTCCTGAATGTTCCTTTCGGGCCTCTGTGCTGAATGTTCCTTTCGGGCCTCTGTTCTGGCTCGAGCGTATTACAACGTGTTGAATGTTCTTTTCGGGCCTCTGTGCTGATGTTCCTTATTACAACGTGTTGGCATTGCGTCGGGAACGGTCGAATGTCGGTGCTTCGCCCCCTCCTGGGGCGCGTCCTTGCCAGAGTCTCGAGGCGAGTCTGGCCGCGGCAACGCAACGAGCCCCCCCCTCGACCTCGAAACGCCCTCGAAGCCTCGACGACGACGACGACGACGACGACCGAACGACGACGACGACGACGACGACGACCGAACGACGACGTCGACCGAACGACGACGACAACGATCGAACTTCGACGACGACGACGACGACGACGACGAAATCTTTTCCCCTTGCCCGAACGCTCGCCCAACCTCTCGCCGCCGCTGGCGGCTGTTCTCCACGGTCTCAGGCGCCGTTGTTCCTCGCCATCAGGCGGATGTTCGGCGTTCGCCCCAACAATTGCCGCGGCTGCAATGCTGTAAACCAAGAACTTGCCCCCCGTAGCGGTTCTCGCGATGGAGGGGCAGGGGGAACAAGGATGAGGACTAAAGGGGAAGAGTATGGGGAAAGGATGAGGAGGGGGTTATTGGGTCAACGGTAGGTCAACGCACGTGCGTTGACCCCCCGTTGACCCGATGACCCCCGCCCTCCCCTATGTGGAACCGCTTTGATGGGTAAGTGGGTTAGCGGCGTTGCGGCCCCGACGCGGCCTGTTGGCCAAGTATCGGGCGTGCTGGAGGGCCTTCGCCCATGGAGTCGGCCGAATCCACGTTCACCGCGGGGCGGCCGTCCTGGGGACATCGGCGGAGGGGGGGTGGAGGAAGGCCGATGGAAGAGGACAGAATGATTTCGATCCGAATCGTCGACCTATCTCGGATTACCCAGTGGACCGGGTTACGATCGGAGGATCTAGGTAGAATTGGTAATAAGGGGGAGGAGGAGGAGGATCGGAGGATCTAACATCGGAGGATCTAGGATCGGAGGATCTAGGATCGGACGACGTTCGGACGATCGGAGGATCTAGGATCGGAGGACCTAGGATCGGACGATCGGAGGATCTAGGATGAGACGATCGGAGGATCTAGGATCGGAGACCCCAGGATCGGACGATCGGAGGATCTAGGATCGGAGGATCGGACGACGTTTTGAAACAAGTGTCCTGGTCTGGCGCCATTGGTCCCGAAGATGTTGCCCTGCTCGGTGATGCGCTGGTTGCCATAGGTGTCGCCCCGCTCGCTGGTGCCGCTGGCCTTGCCTTGCTCGCTGGTGCCGCTGGCTCTGCCTCGCTCGCTGGTGCCGCTGCCTCTGCCTCGCTCGCTGGTGCCGCTGGCGCTTCCTCGCTCGCTGGTGCCGCCGCTGCAGGCCTCTTCATCTTTGGCGCTTCCTCATGTGCCGCCGCAGGCCTCTTCATCTTTGGCGATTCCTCATGTTTCTCCTCGTCCTCATCCTCCTCCGCCGCAGCGGCGGGCTTTTTCATTCTCAAGGCTTCGCCATCGCCCTCATCCTCATCCTCCGCCGCACTCGCTGGTTTCTTGAGCGCTGGCTTTTTGCGAACTTCCTCCTCTTCTTCCTCATGGCCCAAGCCATTTTGGCTCAAGTAGCAAGCTGTGGTTCAACCGTGGCTTCAGAAAGTAGGGATGACGCTGGCCATGTTGACACCTTGCAATTCGGAAGATACCACTGTCATTCTAATTGTCACTGGTCTGGTGGGCCTTGTGTTGACTTTTGGTGGCTACCTCATCTACCATTTCGCAATCGGGCTGTTTGGCTTCTTCGTCGGATTTCTGGCCGAGGCTGCAGTTGGGTCCCTCTGGTTGGGGAAGAGCTTGTTTCAGGTGAGTCACGCAGGAGGCTCTGAATCTGAGCTCCTGCAGACACTGACCAGCTCTGACGACTCGGACTCTCGTGTCAAAATGAAGGTGATTGTGCTTGCCTGTTGTCTCATCTGGGGCATGATCGCAGCTGTGACTTTCCAAAAGCTCTCCTCGACGATCAACAAGCTGTTGGGTTACGCGTTGGGAGCAGCACTGGGAGTGGGTACTGTGGCGCTCTTAATCCATGCGGTCAACGAGCCCATCAATGAGGCAGCTGGGCCTGCCTATGCAGGGTGGGAGTCGTTTGCAACTATATCTCTGGGTGTGCCCACCGCGCTCGTCACGGGATACCTTGCAAGGAATTCCATCAAGTACTGCATCATGTTGGCCACGGCCTTTGGTGGGGCAGCGATTGTCGTCGGCACCTCGATGCGAGCTCTGGAGTGCGCCGATGTCGAACTGGGTGCGGTCTCAAAACCAATCGGGAATGCACTGATAGTTGCTGGTCTGGCCACCCTCGGCTTCGCAGTCCAGCTGAAAGTTCAGCCGAAGGCGGTCCGCGAGCACGACGGGCTCCCGGCCGCCAACTGCGCCTAGGTCGCACATGCGATCGATGTGCCATTTGCTGCTGCTTGCCCTGAATAGACGGCTGTGCTCGCCTGGCTGTCCTGCCAGCCGTCTTTGAATTCACCAGATGTGATTACCGCAATGGCGCGTTACATCACTATTTACTTGTATGAGCCTCGATGAATTGTCTGATTGGCCTCGATGGTCCAGAACACAGCCTACCGAGGCTTGCGATGTACTGGAATGCCGTGCTACTTCACGGTTGCTTCTTCAGCCGTTTCCTCCTCGCCATCTTCCTCAGCCTCTTCAGCGTCTTCTTATTCTTCCTCCTCCTCCTCCTCGTCCTCCTCCTCGTCCTCCTCCTCGTCCTCCTCCTCGTCCTCCTCCTCCTCTTCTTCTGCGTCATCCTCCTCCGCCTTCGCGCCCTCGTTCTTCTTCTCGTTGCCGTCGTCTTGGGACGTCGCGGCCGCAGGCTGTTTGGTATCCGACTTCGATGCTGATGCTGGCTTCTTACTGGCAGCAGTCTGCTTGGGCGCTGGTTTGACGTGCTCCTTTTTTTGTTCCTCTGCCTTTTCTTTCGGCATGCCATTGATCATCTCTGTCATCAGCTTCTTCATGCAGGCAATCGCCTAGGCGAGGAGAGGGGGGATGCGGAGCGAACGGCTGGGGGGCCACCGGGTCACCGGCTCCACGGCAGGTCAATGCACATGCGTTGACCGACCGTTGACCCGATGACCCCCCGTCCTATTCCTCTCCAATCCTCCCCCACCTTTCCCATGTGGCCTTCTCCTTCTCGTCTGCGGCGTGGCGCGTCACGACCAGCTGCAACATCGGCTTCGCCGCGCCCTGGACCCTGAAGATGCGCAGGAAAGCGACGTCAGGAACATCTGGGCGACGCTCCTTAGCGTCGATCAGTCGCCACGTAGCTCCGTCCTTGGCCACCTCCCGCTTGATTTCGGTCACGCTTGAAGGGCGCCGATCCCCTGATCCGTTGTCCACCTGCAGGGCCCTCAACGTCTTATTTGTCAAGTTCGGGATCCTGCGCGTGAATCCGTCATGCCACTTCGCTAGGACCAACTCATCGTCGCCCTCGTCGTTGGGCTGCAGCGGCTCAGACTCCTCCCGCAAAGGCTTCTTGACGCCCTTCTGAGTCCGATAGCAAACCTGCTCGTCCCGTATGTACTTGACATCGTACTCCGTCTTGTCGGTCCCGTCCTGCATGAACGGGCTGAGCCACTCGGGAACGTTGTCGCTATCTCTGGCTTTCGTGATGGCCTGCTGGATGTCGCGGCGCATGGCTTGAGCTCGTCTGCCCATTTTCGTTGCCCATGCCTCTGCATCGGGACCGAGCTGCCATTCTGAATTGCGGTTCTCCGCCACCTTCTGGAAAAGGATCTTCAGCTCCCCCTTGTTACCAGCGCCCTTGTTTGGGAGGTGGAGGATCAAGAAAAGGAAGACGAACACGAGGGTGACGACGACGACGGCCCAGTCCTTCACGGCAACGATGAGTTCGCGATGCTTCACCAGGGCGTCGATGTCCCTGCGGCCTGCGAGCTCATCGCGGTTTATCAAGAGCGCGCTCGTCTTAAGTAATGCGCTGATGCGGTTTACAATATCCTCGTTCGGTGGGGTCGCCATCCTCGTGGCGCCGACAACGCGCCTGAGCCACAATTTCAAGGAGAGACGGGCCCGCGGTGACAGGACACCCCGAAGAAATCTAAGGCCCCCAGACACCCCAGGACGCCTAGGGCCTCTAGACACCTAAAATGCCTGAGGCCCTATAGACGCTCCAGAACACATAAAGCCCAGACTCCCCAAAACGCTTCAGGCCCCTAGTCGCCCAAGACGCCTGATGCTTCAAGACTCACCAAGACGCATGAGGCCCCAGACACCCCAAGACGCCTGAGACAACCAAGGCAGAACGGCACGGCACGACACGGCACGGCAAAATCCCGCCGCCCCGCAGATCGGGGACCTTGGGCGTGATCCGCGGGCCGTCATCGGGCCCCCAGGCGCGTGAGTCCGCCGACCCCCGCTTTAGGGCGCCCCGCGCTTGAGACCGCGGCGCGCCCTACAGCGCGGGCGCGCGTTCCCAGGCGTACTCCGCGGACCTCACTGGGGTCCCAGGCGTGATATATATATATATATATATATATATATATGCATGCAACATAATTTACGGTCATACATACACAATATATATATATATGTACATATGTGTATATGTATATACACACATGTATATCTGCATATTTGTGTATATATACATATATATATATGCATATAAACATGTGTACATGTATGCATATGCATGTATATGTATGTACATATGCATTTGCACACATGTATATGTATATGCATATCTGTATGGTTATGTATAAATGTATATGCATATATGTATACTTGTACATACAAATGTATATGTAGTGGCCATGCAACACATAATCCTGCACATGCTGTACAAGCGTCGTTGGATAAAAAACATGGCTTGGATCAAAAAACATGGTCTGTATCCAGAAACATGGTCTGGATCAAAACTGTGCCGTGTGACCACGTTGGATCAAAAACAAAACCTTGGATCAAAATTGCCTTGTCGAAGAGTGTCGGATCAAAAAACGCGATCCGAGCAACCCCAGGGCAGAACTCCATTCCCGGGCCACATTTTGAATGCCCGGAGCCAACTGTAGGCCACTTCGTGGTCTTCGAGTTCCCAGGACTTCATTCCCGGGCTACATTTTGAATGCCGAGGCAGGCTGATGCTGAGCCTGAGGCAGGCTGAGGGTGAGGCAGGCTGAGGCTGAGGCCGAGGCTGAAGGCAGACTGAGGGTGAGGCTGAAGCAGGCTGAAGCTGAGGCTGAGGCAGGCTGAGGCTGAGGCTGAGGCAGGCTGATGCTGAGGCAGGCTGAGGCTGAGGCTGAGGCTGATGCAGGCTGAGGCTGAGGCAGCCTGAGGCTGAGGCCGAGGCCGAAGGCAGACTGAGGCTGAGGCTGAAGCAGGCTGAGGCTGAGGCTGAGGCAGGCTGAGGCTTAGGCTGTGGCAGGCTGAGGCTGACGCAGGCTGAGGCTGAGGCTGTGACTGCGACTGCCGTTGCCGCTGCGACTGTCATCGCGAATGCGACTACGACTGCGAGAACAGCAGAACTTTACAATTGGATTCTCATCTGAATCTTCAGGGGAATGCTTTCAGATATGCTCCTACACATCGCTGTTAGGTTGCTTTGACGGGATAGTTAGTATGAAGCTCGGAGGCGGGATTTGCAGTTAGAGCTCATTTTGGGTGCTAGTGGTGGTCCCTGGAAGATAAGCCGAACGACAGGCCACTGCCAGAGCCCAGATTCATACGAATCGACGGGAAATTATCCAATGCGTCTTCCTGTAGACATCAGCGGGTCTGAGATTGGCCTGAAGCACGAGAAATGTTCGAAAACCTTTGATCATTAGGGTGCAACTTTGGGTGCTTGCGACGGTTTTTCGAAGATAACTCGAGCCGCGGGCCATTGCCAGAGCCCTGATGCATTCGAATCAACAGGACATGATCCAGTGCATCTCTCTGAAGGCACCAGAGGGCTGAGATCAGCCTGGCAAGGGAGAAATCTCTGAAACGCTGTGATAATTAGAATGCAACTTTCGCTGGGCAGTCGCAAGAGGAAGCTCTACGAGTTCCCGGCGGTAACCAAGGTTGACGATTCACCGCCGGCGCCCAGTTTGGTCTGTTGAAAATTATGTTCTCGAAATTTGTCCATTCGTTTGAGTCCTCGTATGTTCTCCCGCCTTTTTCGATCTTATTCCCACTCGCCATCTCAATATCAGCTCGATCGGGTGGATATTAATTTGAATTTCGGCTGAGGCGGGGTCGGCTGCATTCGAATCGACAGGAAATGATCCAATGCATCTCCCTGTAGGCAGCAGAGGGCTGAGGTCGGCCTGCGGAGGTGATTGCTATAGGCCTTGCCTCCCTCTCCTTCTCCTCGTTCTCAAGCTTCTTGTTGGTTCAAGTTTTTTTTTTTTTTTTTTTTTTTTTTTTTTTTTTTTTTTTTTTTTTCTCAGTTGCTTCTTCCGACCTCGGATGTTACGGGCGGCAACTGTCTCTCCATCGGTGTCTCTCGCCTGAACCAGAACATCTGGAGACCAGCTTATCATGTCCGACTTGTCTGCTGTCTTGCCGCGAATGCATGCGTGGCTTTCCGCGAATGCGCCTGCCGTGCCGTTTGGTCTGTTCACCACGCGGCTTCCGAACTTCAGGAAGAAGCAACTGCAATCGCATTTCTCCTTCGTGGATCGCGCTGGAATCTTCTACATTTCCTCGGAGGGCACCGCGGGCAATGATGCTGGCGGCGCGGCCGTGCTGTCGAGTTTGTCAGGGTCAGAAACTGCGGTGCAACGGGAGTTGCAAACATGGGACGAACGGTTTTCAGTGGGTGGGTTGGTGCACGTCGACCTTGACGGGGACGTGCGCCTCGCTAAGGTCATCGATTGCCGCGGGGTGTCCATGGACCTCTTCGTGCTGGCCGACGAGGTGCTCGTCCCAGACATCCCTTTGTGCGCCATCCGGCAGTTGCCCGAGCAGTTGGCCGCAGACGCGTTGGCAGGCTCATGGGAAGGATGTTCGGTTTGGCGGAAGTTTCCGCTATGGAGACTTTGTCGAAGTTCGTTGGTCCGAGCACGGAATCTACGTGCCAGTCAGGGCGCCGGGAACCAGGGCACTGACTAACCAGGGCGCAGACGCGTTCTCTGCGCTGCAGGAATCGTTACCTAACAGCGTTTGCTGATAGGTTTCTAGTGGTGTTAAAAGAGAGCATCATGACTCCTCAGGGGTGTCTGGGCGGGTGCCGGGGAGGAGAACCGGGATTCGTTTTTCGCCAACAGTCGCACACTTCGTGCTCTTCGACCTCCCAGAACTCCATTCCCGGGACACATTCTGGAGAACCGGGAACAGAGCCGGGTTCGCTTTTCGCCAACAGTCACACACTTCGTGCTCTTCGACCTCCCAAAACTCCATTCCCGGGCTAGATTTTGAGTGGCCGGAGCCAACTGTAGGCCACTTCGTGCTCTTCGAATCGCCAGAACTCCATTCCAGGGCCACATTTTCAATGCCCGGAGCCAACTGTAGGCCACTTCGTGTTCAAAGGCCGTTGCTGTTAGGTTGCTTTGCCGGGATAATTTCGTTTTGGTTTCGTTATTATTTAACAGCGAAGACTGATAGGTTTCTAATGGGGTCAAAAGAGAGCATCTGATGACTCCCCAGGGGGGTCTGGGCGGGAGCCGGACACGAGAACCGGGTTCGTTTTAACCAAACAGTCACTCACTTCGTGCTCTTCGACCTCCCAGAACCCCATTCCCGGGCCACAT